GACATACGAATTGCTGCTATTTTTGAAGTGTATTATCAAAAGTTAATTCGAAAGTATAGTTGTTATCTGTAGTTGAGAACAATTGTATACAATTGTTATTAGTTTTATTAGTTGAATTGATTCATGATATTCTATACCTACAGCAAAATCAAATGAACAGATTAGATCGGAAAAAATTGGGCCACATTAAACTAAACTCTTCAACACATGCACTCATATAGGGATTGGATACAGCCAGGAAATTAAAAAAAAAATTAAAGAAAAATTCAAGGAATAAATATAATGACTGACGGCGATAAATTAATTGAAGACTGATATCTTATCCGAACTTCTTGATCAAATGGAGTGAAATTTAAATATAGTTTTATTGCTTTAGTTTTACTATACTTTGAGAAACGTTTGTTAAACTTTTCTAAAGTGATTAGGAAAATTAATAACGCTCCAACTACTACTACTACGACTAGTACTACTACTACTACTACTACTACTACTACTACTTCTACTACTACGACTAGTACTACTACGACTACTACTACTACGACTACTACTATTACTACTACTACTTTACTTGTCAGACCTTATCTTTAGACATACAACAAATTCAACATCAAGTTATTTAAATAATAATAAGTATGTGGGTCGTTTTCCCACCCATTTCGGCCTCAAAGAGTCTCCACCACAAGTCCTCTACCAATTCGATGTTGCATGCTGCCGACAACCTTAAATGCATATGTGAGTACAGCCCTCGCCATAACTTCAACTATGCACAGGAAGCACTTTTAGTTCACCTGCCCATGCACATGACAAAGTGCGACCAGCTTGATGAAAAATGATGCTCGTGAGCACCTCATCCCACCTCCTGCGATGCATTTGCTGAATGAGAACAACAACAATGTGCCTCAATAGATGGCAGGTGGTACGTGAGAGGCAAGTCAAATAGGGCTACAAATGCTTTCCACAGATGGACACAATGCATATTATTGATATACTCGTGTGTGTCTAATATTCTTCTTTTTTTTTATTACACCTACACTTTTTATATTATTGTATTATGCATTAAATTTTGTGGCTAGCTTTTCGTTTTTGCACGGCACTGCCACTAATTGCAAATTTTGCGTACAGTTTTTTTTTAGCGTAAAACCAACAAACGCAAGGCAAATAAACAGGTAAGACGCCAATGGAGAAGGTCTACCGACTGGGGCATACACTATATTTGAACATGGTCTTCATTAATGTGCGGGTGATACCGATTGCAAATAATAGATCGTATTGAATTTTAGTTAAAGAATTCGAATTACGATTAATAACAAAAACAAAATTTTAAAAATTAAAAATTGCATTCTTATATATTATTCAAAGTATATATATACATTCAGCATTTGGTTAAAATTGCTGAGAAAAAAGAGAATATGTTCTACTCTTGCACAGATCACATATGATATCGTCAGTTTATACCTCAATTGAGTAGCTCTTTATCAGTTTTAAATTGCAATATTTAAACAATTTTTGTCGCTGTCTCATAAACTTGCAACAGCTACTTAGCCCCCTATTTATAGGGTATGCGAAAGTGAAAGAATGACGGGAAGGCTGCTGCAGCAACATAAATATATGTTTGTGTGTGTGTGTGTTTTTATTATCATTAAATATTGTGGCGAGCTATCCGGCAATCTGAATATTTTTTCAGCTATTGTTATTCCGGCAAATTATGAAGCATTTTTTATTGTATCATGTGTTGACTTTTTGCTATGGCTATTGTGCACTAATTAAAATGCACACAACAAAAATGTTTTCACTGTTTTCAGTAATTGTGAGACTGTGGAAAAAGTGTTAAAGTACAACATTCCTACATAGTAGAACTCTGCTGATAAGAAAGCTGAGTGATAGCGATTGGCTGATAAAAACAAGACATTAAGTCTAATTGGCTATGATAGAAGTCGGAATATATGGGTCGGAAATGTTGCTCGAATCGTTAGAAAGTGGCAACAGTGACTCACAAGCCGTGGCTAATTGCATAAAACGGGGATTTCCAGCACAAGCGAATGATATGTTGCCTTAAAATTTGTCACATGCTAAAACAAGTCAATTCATCTAAGCGATTTTTATTAGAATCGATTAGATTGTGCTTTTTTGTTTGATTCACTTTGTTACTCTTTGTTCGTCGCCAATATCAGTTTCATTTCGCAATAAAAAAACAAATTATTAATATTGTTGAACAAAAGAAAGAGCGCCAAATGGTAACATTATTAAGAAGTTGATCGAAAGACGTTCCATTAAAAATGTAGAACATCTCTTTTAAAACACAACAATAAATATATTTAATATATTTTTAGTGAACTCTGCCTTGATAGTGACGAAAATTTACTTAAAACAAAAAAGTGTTTTCTATGAAATGCAAATGTATAATAATTTGCTTCGAATTTCTTGCAATTACTTAAAGAGAGTTGAGGCAATCTTTTGGCTTCGATCAAAAACAATAAAACATATTTGTAGTTATGAAATTTGTATTTTTATAATATCATTTCAAAAAGCTTAATTCACGAATGTAATCCAAATCCATCAGCTTTGCGTTTCCTGTCCGAAAAACTTCAGCAGCAAGCTGACGTAACTGCTGGTTAAGCAACCATTAGAAATAAAATAGCAGCAAACATTTCTTATATTTTATTAATACGATCTCATACGATTTTATATAAGTATGTATTTGTGTGCGAAATAACAAAAGAATGCCCAAAACAGCAAGAAACGAAACAAATATGGATAGAAATTAATGATTTGTGCCAAATAGCGCCTGCCTTCAAGCAAATAATACAGCCAAAGGCAAAAAATGGCAAACAATAGCCAAAGAATCGAGCAAAAATAAGAAGAAACAACTTATAGATAGAAAGCCAAACAACCATAATTGAGTATGCCAGGCTGCCTAGCCAGCTAAAAGAAATATGTAAATATCATAAAAGAAGGTAAATTTATGTGAACTAAACAAGAACACAGCCAGTGGCACAGTGGGCGAGACTGGAAATTACGTTCTTAAAATGCGGCGAACCTACCAAAAGGTTATGGATATACTTAGTATGTATTTGTATAAAATGGGATAGCTATTAATAGCTGTTTTAAAAGTAAAACCGCAAGAATTCTTTTTTTTTATAGTAAACAACAATATGTTCGTGAAGCAATGATAAGGTTTCATTCTGAAGGATCAACAGAATGAAACCTTATCATTGAGTGCTACTGGTAGGTTTATCCGTAGAACCCCAAACAAAATGGCTAGACTGTTCACACAATTTCGTATATAATTTGTCATTACAATTGAGCGGAATTAAGTATGACCTACTGGAAAACGATCAACAGCTTAGTTATGGTCGAAAGCGCATGCGGATTCTCGAAGTAATAAAATCTTTCTACCATACCAGCATACCGTAGAGCAGTGTAAGTGTAAGACCACTTGGGTTAAAATCCAATCTGTCAGTTTTGCTAAGAGGCCCCAAGTTCTACCCAGTATCCTTTTCTTTATCATTGACCCTTTAAGTGCAGTACCAAGTTTTCCACATATCCTATATATTTATTTTTTCGGTTCAGATATTTCAGAGGTTTTTTTTTTTTTACTAATTTCTTCCACTGCCGGGCAAAACTTATGTGACCCTTGAAGCACACTTCACTGTTTGCGACACTGCCACACCGGCCACGGAAGGTCAAAAGCATATTGAAGGGCCGATGCTTGTCGCATGCGTCAGCGTCATCACCTCTGAACCCGCTCGAATTTATTGATTTTACACTCAAAACATATTATTTCACCTATTCTACTTGGCTTTTATTTATACACTCGCCTACATATGTAGATACAAACATATGAATGTATGTATGTGTGCATGTATGTACGCGTATATTATAGCCGGCAAGAGTGTTGGCCATCAGAGCGGCTTGAGTTGGTTTGTTGTTGGTTAATATTGTTATAGCTGCTCTAAAGCCGCTTTTGGCAAAGGCCAAAGAAAAACCTGCTTTTTGCTGTAAGTAGCTGTTGGCAAAAAACCCCAAGCCATGGTCAATAGCCAGCAACAACAAAAACGAGCCAAAAAAAATTTGCAAGAAAGTATAATAAATTGTGGCAAGATTTTGATTTTGAATGCCGCGGCCTGAGTTCCTCACCCAAGAGATGATTTAATTAAAACAAAACTAAGCAGCTAACGGTAGTTTGTAGATTTACAATTCTTTACAGTTTTGGAAGCAATACACAATGATCGTTCGCCTCTGAATGTGCAGAATTTTATAATATAATGACAACAATTAGAAGAAGAATTTGACAAAATTTCAACTTAAAAATTTAAGTTTGATTAACTATAGTTTTACTATAATTTAAAAGGAAAATGCAACATACATACGTTGCTAGCAATTAAAAAAAAGGTTCCCTAACCATAGCGTCCAAAAGAAAATACAGCAAATATTAAAAAAAAAAAAATCTCAATATAATAAATTCGAATATTTCCCATATATTAAGATACGAAACTGCTATGAAGTTGTTGTACATGACAGTTTTAAGGCAATTTTAAAACTAGCTTTGCAAAAAACGTTGAGAACTTCCGCCATAAAAGATTAAAATTCGCTAGACGTACATACAAGTTCTCTACAGAATAAAGTCTCTGATGGGAAACTTAAGCTTCAAACAGCTACTTATGAGCATATTCGCCACACTTGACAGTTTGAAGGCGACTGCAAGCTCCGACAAAATTTCACTTTATAGTCGCACTTCAACTGCGCTGCTCATTCACTCGCGTTTTTTCAACTCAAGAGCGACTTACAACAAAGATATAGCCTTGAACTTTGTCCAGTCACGACGACACTTTTTGATTGCTCTGCTTTGCCTATTCTCTACACATACAGAGCCAGAGACATACACACACACACATACACACACATACAACAAACATTTTTGTGGGTCACCCGAAAGCCGAACAACAACAAAAAAAGCCCTTCTTATCGGTTTGAAGGGAGATGAGCACAGAATGACTTACCATCTTTAGCGTTTGTTTTTGTTGTTGTTGTCGTAGTTGTAGTGGCGGCCATTGTTTTAGCGCCTGTTGTTGGTGTTGTTGTACAGGAGACTGCACCAGCCGCTGCCGCTGCACTAAAGAATGTTGTCGAGTCCGCGGCGCCAGCAGCTGAGAGGCTACGCGAGCAGTGCATTAGTCACGTTTCCGATTGCCGCTATTTGTTTTATTTTAACAATATTATATATTTAGACAATATAAAAATAAACGAGCACTGTTGCTATTGTTTGTTGTCGTTGTTGGAAACAGGAAATAAATGCACACAGGCAAAAGAAATCCAAGCAAACAAACACAAACGACGTACACACGCGAGATAATTTCTTCTTCGACTTTTATTTCATTTAAATGGCCATTTACAAAATTTTTGTGCAGCGAGCAGGCGAGCGGTGAACGAACGGTGGACGGGGAACGGGGCGCGCGTAAAGCAGAAACCGAAACACAAATAAAATTACAAATATACATATAACAAACAATACAAAATAAGAGCAGAAAGCGAGACAGAGCAATTAGGCCGTGCTTAATTATTTACATGCATACAGATAGATATGTACCATATGCATTTAATTGATTATTTGTGTATTTATTTATACAATTTTATTATTTCTTATTGGAGGCACAATTGTAATGTTGTGTTGTTGCCACACACACACACGCACACACACACACGCACGCACGCTAAGCACGATGTTGAGGTGGAAGAAGCAGCAGCAGTGAGGCTCAAAATGTACCGTTTGAGGAAGTAGTATTTATATTTTTAGCTAATTTTCGCTTCCTTCCCTTCTGCTAATTACAATGCAGTGATGCTTTTATTTTTTGTTATTATTGGCACTTGGTTGTTGTTGTTGCTGCTGCTGCTGCTGTTGCTTGCGTTACGCGTTATGTGGGCGCTGACTGCGACGTCGGCGTCGGCGTAGCCGATTGTGACAAAATTTCGTTGCTGCTTTTACAGCGTTTTTGAACACGCACTAAACACGCCTGCATTCATGCGCAGTTCGTGAACATTTTTGTTAATTTTAACGTAATATTTTTAACAATTTCTCGAAACAATTCACGCGACCGACCCGAAAAATGCAGCACGCACCACAATCTCGAATTGGACTAAAAAATGCCAAAATGCGTCCGACTTGCGTCGCAGACGACAAAGCTCATTGCTATAGCACAAGCATATAATTAAACAGCTGCGTGGTAGAAGTGTGACCGTTTCCATGGAAATAACAGCTCTGGTGCATGTCCCCGCTATACAGCAATCCAAGACATACACCATTACGAGATATTTAAAATTTTTGTTTAATATTAAAATAACTTCAAAATAATGTTGAGAATCTTCTTTATTTCTCGAAACGTTTCTAACATTTGAGAAACTTACTCTTTTCCATCTGAACATCCAATTATTTGTTTAAAGGATATATAATCCTTAGCAAGATTTGGCGAACTAAGATGTTAACAATTTAAAACAATTAAAGCATCTAATAACCTTATAACACATGTACTAATATAATAATACAATAATGTTACATAAACAATAAAAAAAATTTCAAACCATTATCTTTGCTCTTAACCGCTTTTTGTTAAATAATGTCAATGCTTCTTAGGCTTAAGTAGTGTAAATAAGAATATATATACCTTATGGGATCGGCGAACCTTCTTAATCTTATTATCTTATATTCGTACTTGGCACAAACCTAAAAAACCAGCCTGTGCATTTTCTGAGAAGGGCCAACGATTTTGGAATGAACGTTCAAAACTGTTCGGATAAACTGTATTTTCTCTGTGAGCCGAACCTAACAATTGGATTTAGCATTTCTCTATTTAAAGAAATTAAAAAAAATAAGAAAAAGTGACAAAATTGTAATATTACAAAAAAATGCATGATCGATTAAACCGCCTTGGGTAATCGAACTCACGTAAAGATTGCATAACTGGTAAAGGTAGAGGAAAAGAACTCATACTAACCTTTTTATCCTTTGGGCAAATCCGCCCTTTAAGAAAATGTTTATAAATGTGCGACACATTCTAATCCGACAGGGATTCTCGGTGGCATTACAAAAAGGATCTCGCAGAATAAGAGTAATATTCAGAACATATGTTTTGTATTCTTCTAGGCTTTAGTTTCAAAATTAAACAGGCGCTTGAACTAAAAGTTGGATCAAACTTTTACCACGTAAAGCAGACTGGGCAGCTTAGTTGGTTCGATGAGGTCCTCAAATGTCGAATTGGATGCCATAATTTCGCATCTGGATTCAAATAAGCTATATTGGATTGATAAACCTTCCCTCCTTAGTGAATAGTAGGACGGTTCTTGGAGTAGTTTTTCTCCACAAGTTGGTTATCGGTGAGGTTGAGTCCTCTGCCCTCTTAGGTCGCCTTCATTTTCAGTTCCTTGTAGACCAACAAGGAATTATTTGCCGTTCATATTGGCAAGATGCACAACTGATTACGCTTTGCACAATCGTTTTCGGGTCATGTGCAGACATTATGATGATCTTTCACATTTTTTCACATTTACTTTCGACAGGACTCTCTCTCTCTCTCTCTCTCTGTTCTATCAAAATTATTCTTTCTTCGGAGAAATCTCTGACCACATACTGCTGTGAGTTGGGGCATAGCTTGCCGGACAGGCATTTAAAAATTCCCCCACCGGGTTGGAGATTTCCCCCTTTTTCTTTCCCTCTTTTTCTTTCCCCTGGCAAATAAAATTCCCCAAACGTGTCGGAGGCATTAATAGACGTCATTGTACAGCTTTGTGTTAGGCTTTCTTCTCTTTTAAGTTTAGTTTAAATTGTTATGTTAAGTTTTATAATATAATCAACAGTATTATTGTTGATATTCTGATTAAAATAAATATATCTGAAAAAAAAATATGCAAAAATTCAACTCATATGCTTCGGTTGCCACTAAACTTTTTCAAATGGTCACAGGAAGAGGCGCCCAATCAGAGTTGCGATAAAACATGCTTTTGTCTTCCAAGCTAGACCAGAAGTTCGCCATAAACGATATGAAATGTGGGCGGAATGTACCTCTATATATATATTTGTGAGACGAAGGCGATGCAAGTCCTGACAGTGGATGTCAAGGGCGTAGGCAGGGGGGGGGAGGGAGGGGGACAAAAAATGTTGTCATATAAAATCGACCACACGTTCATTATTATGAAGCACTATTTCGCCTTAAAAGGGATCGGAGTTGGATTTGTTGAAGTTTTTTCATTCATCATATGCATAAGTTATTTTTTAAATACATCGTGCATTATTTAATCAAAATTTTAATTTGTTGGAATATGTCAATTGGATTGATGGGAAAGAATCGAATCATTCTCTTAAAAATGAATAACAGAGATGTAGATATGGGTACGATTGATCCGATCTTAAATAGGAACTACATCCATTGTTTTCCCTTGCACTTTTTCTTTTTCTGACTGACTTTAGATTTATTTGCTCGCCTTGCATTTATTAATAGCAAGTACATGTGCGAAAACTATAAATATTTACGAGGCAGCCTCAAATACCACAAGCTGAACAATATTGTTGTGCAACTGATCGATTTCTAAGCCGGCTGCAAGCGTCATTTGACAGCATTAGTTGCGTCAGATGCCGCGCGTGTTTATCTTTCTTTCTTTCTTCGATTTGTGAAGATAACACCAACACTTCCACAGATGTGGGTGCTTGGGGGCTGGCGACTTACGGCTGTGAATGATATGGACTCGATGGCTGGCCGGTAGCTGCAGTTGGGGCAGTTGTATAAATTCAGCCAAAGCCGTTGCGAGCAGCACAGAACCATTTCTTGAACTAAGCAGTGCTGACAATTTATTGGAATGGGCAGCAAAGGTAAGAAGTTTGTTGAATTCTGCAAGCGCGAATGGCGAATAATGCAAGTATTTCTGGAATTTGGATAGGACCCCTATTTGGTATTCGCCACCTTCAGACAGTGTTTCTCTTCCTCTGCTTGACTTTTATTCACATTGTGCGCCTGAATGTGGGCGTGGCCATTGTGGCTTTGACCGATGCCGAGTCAACAAATCCAAACTTTCCGGTACGTCTCACACAGAACACTTTTTATTTGTCCATATTTGTGAAATGTGGAATTTAGGAATTCAGCTGGACCGAGAAGCAGAAGGCCTACATACTGTCTAGTTTCTACTGGGGTTACATACTGACCCTGTGCCCGGGCAGCTTCCTGTGTCGCCAATTTGGTGCCAAGTCCACCTTGTTTGTGGCCGCCTTTGGCACCGCCATGTTCAGTCTGATGACGCCCTTCTGCATCAGTTGGGGTGGCTGGCGGGCCTTTTGTGTCATTCGCATACTTCAAGGACTCTTCCAGGGCGTGATATTTCCCTGTGTGCAGGAGCACGTGGCCATGTGGGCGCCGCCGGAGGAGCGCAATAGACTGGGCGCCTTCAGCTACACGGGGGCTGATTGTGGCACAGTATTGGCCATGTTCCTCAGCGGACTTATTGCCAGAAGTGCGCTCGGCTGGCCTGGAATATCGTACGTTTCGGGTACACTGTGCCTCGTCTGGTGCATCCTTTGGGCCATTTTCGGTGCCAATAATGCGACCGAGTCCCGTTTTGTCACCGTGGCGGAGTGCAAGTATATCGAGTCGTCGTTGCACCACAACAAGGACTTCCATCAGCGGACCATACCCATACCCTGGCGCGCCATTTGTGGATCTGTGCCCTTCCTGGCGCTGCTGGTCGCCCGCTGCGCCGAGACATGGGGTCTGTCCACCCTACAAGCGGAGATTCCGTCATATCTAAACGGTGTCCTGAACATGGACATACAGAGCAATGCAGTGTTCTCCTCGCTGCCATTCCTTGCCATGTGGCTGATGTCCTATGTATATCTGATTGCGGCGGACGTGCTGCTGAAGCGGAAGTGGCTGTCGCTGACAGCTGTCAGGAAATTATTCAACTCCATATCCTTCTGGATACCAGCAGCCGCGCTCATCGCAATTGGAGTTCTGGGAGAGGAGCACAAGCATCTGGCCATTGCCCTGATGACAGTGAGTGTGGGTGTCAACAGCGGCGCCACCATTGGCAGCTCTCTAAACACCCTCGATCTGTCGCCAAACCACGCTGGCATCATTATGGGTGTCGCCAATACCATATCGACTTCCATATCAATAGCAACTCCTCTCCTTGTGGGCGCGATAGTCACAGACAAGGTGAGTCGGCTGGCGCGTTCGCAGATCGTCCTGTGGTATTGACACATTTCCCTCTTCTTTGGTTTTAACGAACGCGGACAATGGCATTTTGTGTTCGGCATTGCAGCAATCATTTTTTTTGTCGGCAACTTGGTGTTTATCATCTGGGGCTCTACGAAGGTGCAGCCATGGGATGCGGAGGACTTTCTGAAGCCGAAAGATGCAGAGGCATGTGCCACGAAACGTCCGCCCCTTCCTGAGCAGAACAAGACGTGAACAGAGAGGCGAACAATTATTCAATTAATCAGTATTAGCACTAGGCAGGCCATTATTTATTATACTATTTATTTATTTATTTCCATCGACAAATAAAAATAAATCAATACAATACAATAGAGAACTTAAACTAAGTAAAACTAAAGAAATAAAAAAGCCTATAAAAATGACAAAAATATCTAATAACGAATGGTGGACACGGTGGGGGAATTTTATTTGCCAAACGGCCAGCTATGCCCCGATTCACAGCAGAGAGTAGTCAGATCGAAACAGAAGTGTAGTTGTAGATGAAAAAATATGGCAATAAAAGATAGAAGAAAATAAATTAAAATACTTAAATAATAAAATATAATTAAAAATTAAAGGGGAAGAATAACTGAACCGTTAGGGGAAAATTCATTAGCCAGTCCGGCAAGCGGCAAGAGGTAACTGAAAATAGAAGACTTTAGTGAGGGGAAAAAGAGCTCACTTGAGATTAAAAAGGGAAAAGTAATCACTAGTGCACCTGTTAAGTTCAAGAGGCAGAAAGTTCCTTGTTGGTCTAGAAGGAACCGAAAAATCGATACGACCTAAAAGCATAGAGGAATCAACATCTCCGACAATCAATTCGTGGAGGAACAGAACAGAACACCAAGAACTATTCTACAGTGAGCTAAAGAAGGCAGGTTTATAAGGAGAAGTCTACTGGAGTAGGAAGCTTAGACCACGAAGAGCAAAAAGAAGAAACTGTTTCTGAACCGACTCAAGGCGATCATGATACAATTTATACTGAGGACACCAAACACATGAGCAGTATTCAAGCACTGGCCGTACTAGAGAACTGTGCAGTAACTTAATGGTGTAGGGGTCACTAAATTCTCTGGACCAACGTTTAATAAAACCAAGAACACCCTTAGCTTTGTCAACGATAGTGGAGATGTGAAGATTGAAATTCAATTTGTGATCAAAAAGAACTCCAAGCTCTTCAACTGTAAATATCCAATCAATGTCAAATGTCAATATAGTCGTTGTATATTGTCAATCGCATAAGTACCTAGATATGGTCTGGACCGGTGACAAGTCATAAGCTTGCATTTAGAACAGTTAAGGTGGAGTTAAGGTTATGTCAACACCTCTGAGTAGAAGTAAATTATTTAAATAGAATGCGACAGTTTGCGTTTGTTTTCAAACGACGTCATCATCTAATCATGGTAACACAAATAGATGTGCCTTGATGTACAAGTTTAAAAATATTTGCCACAGCTGTTTGGAAATAGAATGTTGATTAAGTTTTACAAATACTCTTATATGTACATACTTGTATTATGCACTTACTATGATTGTTCAGTGGATGCGGATTTTTGTTTCGTTAGCTATTCTGTGCTGGCTGGCTAATTTATTTATTCTAAGTAAACAATATTCTTGACGTACAAGTATTTGAAACAATGCCTTCTCAAATATAAATGGAAAAGCTATTTTTATTTTAAGGCGGCGAATCCAAATAACGGTTATCTATACATACTTATATACAGTGAAAACTCCCCTAATGGACACCTCTTCGACGGACAGTTTTTCTAAACCATTCGAGCGTTGTATAAAGTGTTTAAGTATCCCCTTAAGCGGACACTCCCCTTGGGCGGACGAAAATTGGCCGACCGTGAGTGTCCGGCCAAGAGAGTTTTCACTGTACTTGCACATACGATTGTTTGTTATTCACCCAACAGCCGAAAAGTATGCAACGAGTCGCGTTTGAAAATAACGTTCAAGGCAAATGATTCCCCATAACCAGTGTTACCATTTCAGCCTTTTTCCGGATAGATCTGTCCTTTTAAAAATTGCTTCAGCCTGAAAAAATATCAATCATCCCCTTTTCGGAAATTTATCCTTTTTCCGGGTTGACTTATCATTTTTTAAGTGCGTTAATTTAATTTAATTTACAACAAGGCCAGCATCTTGCAGAAATATTACGCTGCTGGGCAGTGTTGTCAAAATTTTTGGAGCAAAAACAACTAGATTGCCAAAAAATTAAAGCTAAGAAAAGCTAAATCCAATGCAACATAAGCCGGCCTATTTTCTTGGTTAAATTTAAGGAAATATCTGTTTTAATATTTTCATATTAATTCTATATTCTTAATTCATAATTTATAATAATAAAATGAGATTCTTGTAAAAATAATAATAGAAAATTCAGATTAAGATTCTACAGTTCATCATCTTCATCTAAACTCACTGCCGAAGAGTCAGGATAATTTTGTTGTTACGATTAAGTCCGTATCTTAAATTGAAAATTAACTAATATAATTATGAATATGGTTTATTTTGCTTACAAAATACTTACCTTACGCTTAAAATGGAGTAAGGCGTATTTAAAGTCATCCCATTTCTTCACCTGGCTGAAGACCCGCTCCACTTCGCGAACACTTTGTTTTTACACTTTAGACATATCTTAACGCAGCGAAGAAGAAAAAAACGGTTTATCTTCGAGCCTGGCGGTAATTTTGATAGATTTTACTATCGAAAGTCGTTTATCACTGCTTATATTCATGATTTGAAGTGTTGACAAAGATAAGGAAACTAATTTATGGTGAAATATAAAGTAAAGCTAGAAAAACGCTAAATCAATTTTTTTCAAGCTAGAATTCCCGCGTTAAAAAAAAACCAGTTCTAGCGGGGAAAAAAGCTAAAATGACATCACTGCTGCTAGGATCTATTAGGCTCACTCATAAAAATTCCCACAAATACCTTGGTGTAGGGGACTTACCTTCAAGACGGATGACGTGGCTGCTTGCTCCAAAGAACAAGCTGTCCCTGTTCTGTAAGGTGACAATGTTTAAGTCAATCCCAAGTCCAATATCCAATGGAAACAAGCGCTAACAGTTTATTGAACGCGGGCACAAACTTAAAAGGAACCTTTGTGTGCGCTTAGGAATGCAGAAAGTTCTGAGAAACGCCTTGGATGTCAACTGCTTTCTAGGCCAAAAAAAAAGACGATTGACAAAGTACGTAAAATAATTTATCCCAAGTAATAATGAACATACTATTTCGCAATTGCCAAATAATAACGAATATATTTCACAATTGTTGGACAGGATAAAAACAGGAAGTAAAATAACAAGCCAAACAGAAAAGCTCTTGCATGGGCAATCCGGAACTCTAAATGGATGACTTATGAAAGCACGTAGATTTTTGGTTTAGTTCGCCTTTATACACAACAGACAACGTTTCAATAAAATAAAGATTCTAAATAAAAAAAGTATTATTTTTTTATTGTGTATTCGCGACTAATAACTAAATTCCCACAGGATCTCCCCACGAGATTCCATAAAATTGAGAAGAATGTAATATAATTTGTGTTTTGTAGAGCTACATAGATTGTTTCATTCCCCTTTAATGCAAAACTGAATTAAGCTGCCACATTAGGTAGCAGAACACCTGCTTAATAAAATAATAATAACAGTGTGCACTACTTGTTCTTCCTCTTAATAGTTTGCGCTTTATTTGAAAGCAGATCCAATCGAACTTCATTTGTTTTGTTTTGTTAGGTTTGTGGGAGATGAAATAAATGTAACAGGCCAAAGAAGGCGTCGCAGACCCCAGAAACTAAATACTATATACATATAAGACAAGTCGAGCAAGGATCTCAGAAAGTATAAGAGGTAGAAGGAGTAGAACAAGATTCTCCTAAGTCCTCCTAAGTATAAAACGAACTTCCTATAATAAAATTAAGATGCGAAGAAAAAAACTGAGGCAGCTGGCATTTAAGAAACTATTTATTCATGAAAAAAAGAGCGAGGGCAGGAGAGGGAAATTCAAATCTAAAACATCAAAACGATCAATATATGTACTTGTATATGTGTTTATCAAAAATTGAAATCTTAGTGAAGTATCAACATTTGTTCCAATGGTGTATTTCCTATTGGCAGTCCAATTGATTGGTTCAGCTCACAGATGTAAACAAATGTGTCTTCACATACATGCTTACCTTACCTGAGCTTTTATTCTTCCTATCAAACACATAACTGAACTTAACTGGAACTTGTCGGGCTGATAATATATCCTTCTTGTTCCATAAATACTACTTGTCGTATATCAGCAAAGTGGCTTTAGAACCACGGTTTTCTGACACAATATACTTCTGTGGTGAAATATCAACTTTGGAGATGTTTCTAAAATATTCGTGGAGGATCTGTATTTGTGAAAAATACAAATCTCTGTCAAAATGATAACAGAAATTACTCTGGCCATTACGAGATTAAAAATCATAAAATAAGAAGACTATCAATAACCTGTTTAATATTTAAAGATAAAACAATGGAAGATCAAATAACATACGATTAAAAAAGGTCGCTCATTCTCTTTTGAAACTTGATTCAAATATATAGTTTTCCTGCTCAATCTTCAAAAATTTCTGACAGAGGCAACTAAAGCGGCGTTCAAAAACATCTCTCTGATTTGAAACCGAGTGTCTTTACACCAAGTTTTATATTTCAAGCTATTTGGGCTCAAAATAGACGAGGTGCTGTTGTCGTGTTAGGCTTAAGCTTAGTCAGATGATGAAATTATTATCACTTGAAGCAAAAGCAACCAGAATACTTGACTAAAAGTCTTCTTTCTGCTTCAAAAGTCCGCTCTGCGATTTACTTTTCAAAGCCCACCTATGCAAAAAAATGCTTTTCAACTTCGGTTAATACTTTTCACGTAAAGCTTAAAGATCTGACCTTCCGCAATTTGATGATGACGGCACATGTTTTTTATGTATCCCCCCAGCTATTCACACCTTTCGTGAGATGTCAAAATTGACACCTTTGTATCAAGAAGACAAGAATTGGACGACCCAAGCCGATTGCGGCAAATAGTTTGCACGCATTGTGACCTTGACAGAAATAAGAAAGATATATGTATGACACAAATATGTATTACAAAGACCAAATGGGCGAGCCAACAACAATGGCAACCCGAATGGCCATAACAGGCAGCCAAGTGAGGTAATTTGTTTGACAAGATCTGTCAGTTACACATACAAGTACAGCTTCGATATCTCTGTCGCCTCCTTCACCCAATTTGCATGTTCGCGCACTTTTTGTCTGCCTACTTATTTACTTACTTATGTCTTCTTTTTTATTATTCCACACG